GGAGAGGCATGTTGCCAAGTTACATGGGAGAGCCAGGATCAGTGCTGGAGGAAGCAGGGGGACAAAGAGAGCCACCCAAAGGATGGGTGAGAGAAAAGAGATCACTCGTGCAATCAATGCCCAGCTTTGACGATGATGTTTTGGCAGAGAATGATGAATGGGAGCCTCAGATGGAGTAGAGCTGATCGTACCAGGGAAAGTTCTTCTCGTATTTACCTACAATTTTAATTAGGAGAATTTGTGTAAGGAGGAAAAAACTCATAATACAAATTCACGCTTGTCTCTGAATTGATGGGCACAATGCCTGCACCTGTTGATTCAAATTCAGCACGAATGTCACAAAATTTAGTGCAGAGGCTTTGATCAGTCTGATCAGCATTGATAATTATAAAAATAGGGGGGATCACTTACACCACGATGCGATTATATACAGAGTCTCAAAATTTGTTGGGATTTGATGCATAGAGCACTGCATATTGAGGATCCTCAGAGAAAATAACTCTTGTGATGACAGCATGCATTTCATCTTTGTCTTTACCTGAGGGGCGACCCTCAGCTTCACGGACGGTTGGCTGAATTCCTTTTTTCACTGGCAAACAGAATGCAGCAATCTGGTGGGTGTCCAATGAGGTAGTCGACCAGCCTATTGGTCTGCTGGGGAACTGACTGCCAGCTGATAGAAATAGTAGGAGTAGTGTCTCTATCTTTACCTTCTCTGCTGCGTTTTCCCTTTCCCTGTGCAGGAGGAGCTGGTGGTGGCTCTATAACTTTCAGCCCAGTCTTGCAACATTGCGGGGAGGTGATTTGAGAGTGCGTCTGTAGTCGTGCAGAACGACGAAGTTATGGTCGTAGGGCAGGCATGTCTTTTGGGACTCCGCATTGATGCCAGCCCAAGCCGTAGTGTAACAAACCTTAAGTCAGGACCGATTTTACCAAGCTTTACCAAGCTTAGCAAGCTCTGTGAAATCTACTTTGAACACCATCAATGTTAATCTTCTTCTCTGTGTTTTTCAAATATACACAGAACATTTGAAAAACATAGTATATTTGAAAAACACAGAAGAAAATTAACATTATTTTAAGCTGTTATTTCAAAGACAATACATGGAAAATACAGCATTATCCTTGAAGGAACATGTCCAATTTTTGCATCATGCCCCACACACAGAATGTCATGGAAACATGAATTACTTTTTTTCAATGTTTTGACAGGAAAAATGAGGGGAAATTTCTATCTTCTCAATCAATGTTTTTTGGATGTTTGGTGGAGGAAAATGGGAAAATGCCTGTAGTGATAGGTAGGAGGTATGCAAAATATATAGTATCTATGTAGAATTTTGGAGTGCTATAGGTGAAAGTAGTAGCAGTAATTTTTGGGTCTGATGTCCTATGTCATAAGACATGTGGTACTGCGAACATGTAATAATACAGTCTACGATGTTAGTGATGTTGAAACAAGTAACTGCGCACCTAGTGGGAATAGATACGACAGGACATGACATAGGGAGGATGTGCATGCAGAATTTCATCAGCCAAGTCAGCCTAAACATTGGGTTGCATTGGGTTAGCATTGAGTTGAGCGGGTAAGTGTTGGAAAATATCAGGAAATGATTTGTGTGTGACAGGCATTTGACATGCATTGGAAATAGCTTAATATGAGCTCAGTGCAAGGTTGAGTGCTACAATGTCCCTCCTGCAAGAACCTGCCACCCATTTCTCAAACTTCAGCAACTTTCCTCTTGAGGTGTGTGACTCTTATCCTCTGTGAACTGAAGTACACACATGTAGCATTTAGTGGCCACACCATAAGTCCAGGATGTCCAGGATGCCCATTTGGGAGGGTGGAGAGCAAGAGGTATGCAAAAGGAAAATGCCAAACATAGAGCTCAATATCACTAAGCTCATAAACCTTAATATACAGCCATCTGAAGTTTCAAGACATAAGTTCTGAGTTTCTCAGTAGCAGCCTAAATTCTTTATCAAATCACTAGTTGAGTACATAAAGTGTGGTATAATTAGTACTATAGAATAGATCTGGATTTTTGAAAACATGTGACAAAATAAGTAATGACACATCAATATCAATATGACATGTCCTTAATGTCAGATATCTCTCTGTCATCCTACTAGCATCATCAGCTTTCTGAATCAAACCATTAGACTTGCACTACACGATTACATTATGTATTCTACAGCACAAAACAACTACAATAACAAAAATTTGATTCATATTAATATCAGCACACATATATTTGGATCAAATCACATGACAGATGACAGATCAGATTTTGTTAACTAAGATCAATCATCTGAGTACTCCTCTAGCCCAACCTCAGACTTTGCTGTGCTATCAGATAGCGAAGGATCTTCATCTTACTGGCTGCTGGACTCATCTCCAAGTTGGTCTGCCTCACCAGAACCATGTAGAAATCCCCTGATCTCAGATATCAACATTGCTGAACAATTGGCATTAAATATGCCCAAGGGACTTTACCAGGCATTCTGTGCTGGTGGATTACTCACATGTATGAGCGCTCAGCAGTGATGGAGTATCTGCTGCTGTTAAGACCGTGCACAAAGGGTAGGACTGATTCCAAGGGGCTTGGCTTCAGCTTGTGCGCTGCACCCCTTATCCGAGTATGTGCCCTTAACTTCAGAATGAAGTCCGGAGAAAGTCCAGTGAAGTCCAAAGGACTTCCGGAGGAGCGTGGGAAATTTCGGAAGGACTTTCCGGATGAGTGCGAGAAACTTCCGGATGAGTGCGGGAAAGTTCCGGAGGAACTTCCGGAAATTATGATGGAGTTTCGTCCTGACGGGGATATGTGTAATGGCTACTCAGGACAAGTCCTGAGTAGAAGTAAACAGAGGAAAGGCTGCAAGGACAAAGTCCGAAGCAGAATAGGTCCGGAGGACCGCGGGAAAGTTCCGGAGGAACTTCCGGAAACTCGGAGGAATGGAGGATTGGATGAGTGGATGAGTGGATGAGTGGAGGAGCGGAGGAGCGGAGCTCCGGCCTAGGGAATTCCTCCCTAGGCCTGAGATGGATAATGACTAAGTCGGAGGACTAGAACTGTTACGAGGACTTAGGGTGAAGGCTAGTGCGAGGACTAATATGTGTATGATATTCAGACTGAGGAAGTACAAAGATTCTACAGAGTTTATATACTACAGAGGACTTAACAGAGAGTCAGTCAGCACAGTCCGAAGCTATGCGAGGCTGTGGACGGAGGATGTAGAAAAGTCAAACACTAGTCTATCGGAAAATAGTAAATGAAGACAGAGATGAAGACATAGGAAAATAAAGCCAGAAATGAAACGAGGTACGGAAAATGAGGAAGTCTAACTCAAGAAGGAACATACAAAGGGATAAGGCACGGAAGATAGACGCGGGTCGGATCCGGATGTCTGGAGATGAATGCGTGATAGGTCTGGGTCCGGAACGCAAGGAAGATAGACGTGGGTCGGATCCGGATGTTCGGAAGTCCGGAGACAGGTGATTACCATAAGGGGATGGGCACTGATTTAAGGTTTGGGTTCGGACATGACAGATAGGTTGGATCCGGAGATCCGGAGATGTGGATATCAGATCTGGCATCCGGATATCAGATGCAGGAGTACAGGGATCCGGACGGATAGAGGATTGGGTCTGGAGACATGGACAGGAGGTCCGGAGGTCCGGATGAGGCGTGGGAACATCGTCAGATGTTGGTCCGGAATGCGGGATATGACAGCTGCCCTGACTGTGAAGAGTGGTGTCAGACAAGTTTTCCATCTGAAATTTCTCTCTGAGACACTGGGAACTTCAACACTCTGAGTGCCTATCAAGGCAGTAAGAAATGCCTTTGGACTATTGCTTGAAGGAGTAAAGAAGCCAATGAACCAATTACACATTCCCTGTTGTTTGCCTCAGATCACAGCACATACATTTTATTTTGTTCTTTATTGATTGTATCACTTAATCGATCAAACCTCCCAGTTCTTTGTCTGCTCGTCCTGACAATTGTCCTAGACTCATGGTCGTCTGGCCACAGGAACTTCCTCCCTTAGGAACACTATCATGATGGTCTGAATGGGCTTCCCTTCATCATCGATCTCACCCAGCCTAGCACACCTTTGATTCTGTTACACACTCAAATAGGTCTGTTATATGGAGCCCTAAGAGGGGCGTTGTCCACTAATATTCATGATGTAACTGGAAGGGTCTGGTATAGCAAGTGAGACTGGCGACAACAAGTTGGCAGATATCACAGACATGTGTGTCACGTGACTTCTAAGATAGATGTCTGCAAAGTCACTAAGCTCAAAGTAAGGACTGTCTTGTCCTACGATCGAGGTAGACTTAGGTGCAACGAGCACCTAAAAAAGTTGTACTAGAGACAAGAGCTGAAGGGGCTCTTGAAGGAAGTAGTTTTGAGGGAAGATTGAGTAGATTGGGTTACCGTACTGTGTCGACGCTATGCGTATCGACGTCATAAGCGGACCTTGGACTTTGGAATTCGAACCATAATACTTATACCATTTCGCGTTCTCACCTTCCCTCAGTCTGTTCCACCAGCACTGAGGGTAAGCCATTATATTTACTCGAACCGCCGCAGATATTAACGACCTCTTAGGCTAACGTTATATCTAGGTATTTAACAAACTCAGTCTGTTCCACCAGCACTGAGGGCTAACATTATATCTAGTTATAAAAGGTTATGAGCCCTGCTCACTCGTAAACCGAGGAGCGGAACTACCAAACTAGAAATGGGCCTCAGGAACGAACCTGCCTGGTCATCAAACCCTCGGGGGTCTTATCTACCTACGTCGACGTCATCGTCGCATTTAATCTTACCTTCTTCGGTCAAGGAGAATCACTCGTTGGGGATCATATCTACCTACGTTGGCGTCATCGTCGCATTTAATCTTACCTTCTTTGGTCAAGGAGAATTACTTGTGATTATCCGCAGGTATATAAACCCGTGCATCACCCATTTTCTAATCTCCCACATCTTGTCCTCATGCCTTCTACTGCGCATACAAGGCTCCACAGAGCAATGCGGGCGTCATTCCCTATTCATGATAGTCAGCACAAGAAAGGCCATTATATGATTCATTACCTCCAGTAAGACACAACACCCCCTGCATGCTCACAGCCAATGCATTTACCTCCTTGGTATGGCATGTCATTGTAAATTTGTTTGAAAACTTTGGGAGCATCAATGAGAATAAGTCCCCACGAAGGAAAAATACATATGTTCATAGTTGATGGTGCATAAAAATGGGAGTGATCTGATGTGTTGACGTGTTTAAGAATGAACACGTCTGTTACATATCAAGAGTCATAAGGCTCCAAGTGGTTGAATCATTCAATTGTTTCGACAAGGAGATACTCGTTCATTTGGACTAAGATTAAATATACATGATCAACAACAATAAGGAATGGAGCTACTGATGACAACGGACAACACAATACAAAGTGTCAACCTTGGTCATCTAACAATAAACTTACTACAACAGGAGATAATATTCATAGTGAGAGGTGATCGATGTTATACAAAGACAATGACACAATAACTGTCCCATCTGATTTATGTAATGAAGGAAGAAAGACAAATGATTAGCTTTTATCATAATGAGTACTAACCTACCTTCTCGCATGCACAGTGCATGCACCAGGCGGGTCCAACGATATACCAGAGCTTCACCACGCTCCCCCAGATCTCTTGAAGCACATGAGAACCAGGAACTTGAGCGGGGGATCAAGGCATCCTTGATGTCTTATAGGACTGAGACTCAACAATGTAGCCAGAACATTGTGAGTTGGTCCCTGACCAATAATTCATTCTAACTGAAAGATGTCAGAACACCTGCACAGGGTCAGCTATGGATATTGACCCACCCCTGCATTCGGCCAGTGGGACATATGGATGTGTAGACACCACTATGGAAGATGACGAGGTTAGCAAACCCACTTCTGATATTCACTGTAGCTTACTTTAGTGTAAGGTGGGGCCCCTCACTGTTGTCCAGCAGAAAACATTGTTGAGGGTGAGCACGAGTCTCCTGGGGAAAGAAGACTTGTTTGCGGCTTGCAGAGACACACTGACAAGTATCTACAATGTCACCTCGACACACAGGATCCCCGTACTAAGCAGGCGCGCGAGCGCATGCATATTGCACTTCAAGCTGCACTGCTAGGCATCAATGTTGATGAGATCATGAAGTGTAAGCAAAGGTCAATGGCACAAACTCAGACCAATGGCGGTGGCAATAACATAGTAAGTGGGATGATTCACAGTGTGACGATCTGTAAACGACATGTCAATATCAGGGCCAAATAATAGATGACTATCTCATACTATCTGCAATTGCATGTCACATCGTGAATGGTGTGACATGTACAGTCCGAACACTGGGAACTGCACTGAGCACAACCTCAAGGGGCTTCAAACCAGTCTCTAGGATAGGTGAGTCAACATTTATCAAAAATTGTGACATCAATGCTAATGATGAAGCAGCATGTACTACGGTAATGCCAGGAGAATATCTTGAAACTGAGCAGAAGAAACTCTAAACATGGTGATACATGTACAATTATTGATCTGTAATCACAATACGTAACAGCATTGTAGGGGCTTAAATAGTGAATGGAACTCAGCCTGGGTTTTGACAGTGCCCCACTGATATGACTCATGCATATTTTCAGGATGTTTGTCAAAATTCAAATTCAGACATATCCATAGACAATTCAACAATTTTTTCCTCCTTTGCATACCAAACATTACCATACTATGTTCCATTATCAAATTTTGAACAGAGTTTAAATATATTAAATATTTGTTTGTGTAGTATATCTACCATTCATATATGATATATGAATCTTGCAGATAACACATACCTGTCATTTTCATTGTCGTATCATACATTGAACAATAAGGCAGATCCATGCCAACAAATTCAGCAATTGTGTTCATACATATTCCCTATTTGAGTACAAATTTGGCACTAAATCTAATTATGGACCTTTTCAGGCTTTGATCATGAATCTTGAGGAGTGATATTCCATTTTAAAAATTTATAATTTGTTCCTCAATTTGAATGGGATCTGTTGCAGGTACTCATTTGGCTGTGTCTCAGGTGTGATAACCTTTTCATGCACCTCCAATAATGAAGACTTCTTTCCCAATGATGTTGCTGAATGAGTCCAGATTTGTGTTCAATACTTTCATGATGAATTTGATAGGGACATTGACCTGTTATAACTCAGAGACATTTCATTTGAGGGGAATGACACTTATGAGTGAGCAATCACCCTTGGATATCAGAGTCAGGTGTGCATTTGGAAAGTCCACAGTTTGCACAACCCCTTTCTGGAACTCTGGCCTATGGGCGACAGTCACAATGTCTCCGGGCCTAACATCATAACCCTTTTCCTTGGTAAATTGGAGAGTCTTGGGGGGATGAATCTGCTGTACAAAGGCTACGGAATGTTGATCAGCTGGTCCTTGATATTGCCTCCAGCCTGGAACCACAATGTGGTTGCTCTCATAGGAAACCACACTACAATCCCGCATTTCCCCATGTTGTTAGTTATATGATCATTCACCTCTACAGTACATATTTCTATGTCTTTTATGTGTCTTATTGTGCCTTCATACTCATAGTATTATTCCTGACACTTTACTTACCATTTACATGACTTCCTGACCTCCCTAGGATGTCCCTAGGTCGAGTTATTACTTAATCTTTGATTGTGGCTTGTCTGTTTACATTTGTTTACCATATGTCGCCCACATCTCAGAGTCCAGTGCTTCCTGCCTTTTTGGCAACTTACTCTGGACTCTAGTCTGATCTCTTCTGGTCTCTCAGTAGCCTCTAGAAGCGGCCCACTTCACCCCCATCTTAACATCTCTCCTTGCAAAACCCTTCACTGACTGACCTCACTCTTACACACACATCATTGAGTGCCTTTCAGTGGACTGTGATGATGCATGACATTAACCTTACACAACTTTGGTTTTTGTCTGTTGAATCCAAGTGCCCTACCACTGCCCTGGTTGAGTTTTGACACGGCATGAGGTTCATCAGCTCTGGCTTCACAGTATGGATCATTGCACAGGCGAGCCTGGCTCCCCATTGAACATGGATATCCCCCATATTCCCATGCATACTTATGCACTCTATCTGGACCATATTGGTACCTAGTGTCCCTACTAGCCAAGGTTCACATGCCTCAATGCATTCAAACCCTTGATTTGCAGCTTGACACCACTTTTCTGGCATCAACATCCAATTACTTGTCAGCAATCTCAGCAGTTTGTCGCCATTGATAGTCTGCAACTAAATTTTTATGATGGATCACTAATTTCTGAAAGTTTTGATGTCACATTGGATGTTGACAATCGAACAATTCCAGCAAAGAAGCTTACTATTTATCTTACCACACTGGTACAAGTATTCAAATCAACACCCCTTGGTGAGTGTCATATATGAAACAATTTTGCATTAACTCATGTTTTGTACTTAGTTCCGCTGCAATCCTTGGTTACAAGTCTTCCAGCATGTCAAAAATGTTTGTCTTAGGCCTGGAGACATGACACTATCAGAGTGCCAGAAGCTGGAAGCTGCCTTTTGTCGCCCTGAATACCCCTACCATTTGGATATTGGTCATTATATCTAGTAGTATTTGTGTGTGACATACCCACTCATACCCACTCCTATACTACCACACTGCTACTTTTGAACTCACCAAGTGTCCTCTCACGTTACCAATACATCCCAACTCAAACTCACTCCAATACTCAAGTGTCCACTGATTCTCCTCACTCACACTCTGATACTTTTTTCATTTATGACACAAAATATTTGATTGTAGCTTCAAATTCCATTAGTTATACCATAGACACTCCCGATGATCCCCAGTCACTTACATAACCAGATTCATTATGAAGTAAATCACATTGATACACACAAACATTTGATACTGAGCACATACTATATACTATAGTACACCATCGGCAAAGCAGACTATTGCAAGAACATCATGTGAAAATGACCGGGCTGCCAGAGAATTAAACTGGGAATTTCTGGTTCACCATATAAACCCTGAGATTATCTTTAACATCTTTCTTTTCCCCCACCATCTATACGATACCCCTGACACATACATATACATAGTAGCTCTTGACTTATGATTAGATGTTATGTACAATGGCTCAAGCTCAAGCACAATGGTCCATACTATATGGACACATATAGCCAAAAATATATCATGAGAAAGACACTGATATTCATTGATCCGTTTTTAGGCCATGTTGAGCTACAGGGTTGCGCTCATGATCATGATCAATCTGTATGACAATGACTACACCGCAGGGATCCCCACAGTCAAGAGGCGTACAATGGAGAAACCTGAAACACCAACACTTTGCTTACCGTAAGCAAAAACCTTAATCTCAGCCACTTTGGTGTTAGAGCATGTTGTCGTCTGAACTTCTCAACAGCACTTTCAAATCTTCACCAAATCTTTTGGTAACTTGGTGGAGGTGGTGGTTACAAGTACCTTAGAGTAATTTTAGATACCTGTATCAATAAACTGCATAGTTGTAGCTGATTTCCCCTGCAAAGAGCCGCAAGGGAATGAAACTTGTCAATGGTCATACTATCAACAGCGCAGTGCTCGCTCGCTATCTCTCATGGCTACCCAATCAAGATGAGGCTTCCATCCTCAAGCTTCTGAATCCAGATGACCCCCAAGATGTCCCTCGTGCAATTGAATTTGGTATCACACGGATGAGAGGCCAGCATAATTCTGACATGAACTATTCACAGGCACTTGATCGCATCGGCGCCGCCAAGGATATTGATACTGTTTTCAAGAAACACCCAGACCTTGAGTCTGGCTCGTGACGACTCAAAATCACCCGCGTTGAAGGACTCAATCATATTCGTGGGTTGGAGATGTGGTTGTGTCACATTGCGACCTTCCCTCAGCATGGAAGGATGGTTGTGATAAGGCATTGACCGTGCTCACAGATGCCCATATGTCTGCGGTCTGCTGCGCATTCAACGAGTTTTTTTCCCAGGATGGCTGTGACCTTATGCGGCCCTGGGGGGCAAACAAGTACTTAGGGATATCGGATGTTGAAGGTGTTGAGTTGAGCACGAATTCTACTTCCTTTCCCAATACTGCGGTTTCAAGCGAGTCACTACTACTGGTGGCAGGTCCTACCAGTGTTGAAGAGGAGCCTGAGCTAGACAAGGATGTTCTTACCCTGGAGGAAGCTCTTACTCACGATGTTGCATTCGGAAGCCCGAACATTGACCATGACCCTACCATTCCATCAACATCACATCCTGATACTCCAGCTCTCGTTAGTGGCCCTGGGATTAATCCTGATGATTACCTTCTTGTCTATGGGAAGTACATCTACAAGGAGACAATCTGTCGATGGTTGCTCAACAAGCATTTCATTGCGAAGTCTCTCAATAGACAGGAGCGAGTTTATAGCATCAGTTTCACCAAGGTTAATCGTTGATGTGAGCTCCCAGGGAGGTCGATCACTGGTGGCAATACATTCATCATTGGCGATATTTTCCTCACAATCATCCGCATTAACCTCACACTTACTATTGCACTTGTCTGTTCTACGTCAATTGAACATCACAGCATTACCTGTCATCATATTCTTGCCTCAAATGTTTGCACTCCCGACGTCAAACTCACTGGCCAAATCTTAACGTTGATCCCCACACACCAACCTGTTGAACAGTGCTCCTGGCTCTGGATGGGAGATTATGTCAAAACGCGCTCAGAGATCCAAGGCATCAAGCAAACAACAGAAAAGGTTGTCGAAATCACTGCACCAGGGCTTCTGGTAGAGCTTGTTAACCCCGAGACGACGTGTGTCCGCATGCGCAATGACATCAATTCCGACAAGTTTTTCGCATTGAATAATCTCGGGAACACGTGGATAATTGAAGAGTTGGCTCTCTCTCTCGCATGCGACACTCTTTGGCGCAATGCCTGCGGGCATTCAATTAGCATCAAGAATATCCTCCACATCCCTACCCCTTCTGATCCTTCCATGTTTCCTTACACTCTTCCCGATGGTAAGTTTCAATTTTTCTTATATTTGTCATGCTACTAATATAATTACATAGGTTCGGCAGGTATCATTTGTATCGAGGCGAGCAAACGACTTGCTGCCAGTGAATCTGGCCCATCATCAGAATGTCCGCTATGTGGGAACAAGACAGATTCGATGCGTGCACATGTCGGCATCCACATATTGAGAGCGTCTCGTGGTGTAACGAGCATCAACAATAATCTGAAGCAACAGGTAAGTCGTGTCATAATTGTATAGTGTCAAGTGTTGACTTTGATGTTTTAGGTCGGTCTTCATCAGCCATGTGGATTCTGCGGACGATCAGGCCACCAGGAATGCAAGATTCGAATCAAAATCACAAACAGTGGTGCCGTTTCGAAGGTCGAATCATCCTGCCCTTATGCCCACACATTCCAGTACCCAAATGCCGACATTGGCTCGAACAACAGGCCCTGTGGCAATGTCTCTCTCAAATGCGAGTTATGTCACCCGTTTTTGGCGCCCGTCACCGGCAAGAAAAGTCGCACTGTTGCTCCCTTCATTGACGCTGTTTGGCATTACAACATGATCCAGCATCTTGAAGAAGTCCATCCTCAGTATGCGCACCCAGAGAAGCTCATTGGACATCCTCTCCCTGCGCAGATCCTCACCTCCTTCACGCTGACTGCTCTCGAACAGGAAGATGCAAATATTCCGATGGCGCAATGGCTTATGCCTCTTTTTGAGGGTGAGAAGGAAAATGTTCAAGTTGGGTCCAGTTCTCGCAAGCGGAAGACTAATAATGCTGGTGTTGTAAATGCGAAGAAAGCTTGTACTTCTGTCTAGTTTTTTTTTTGTTCCTTCGCATGCTTTCACAATTGCAAGCTCACTCTCACTCGCTATGATTTTGCATTCTTACACTTGCTACTTGATGTTTTCGTGGATTTTATTGCTTCCAATTGCATAGTACTACTTAGGAATCAATACACACATGTTTCTACCTTCTTATATTGCATATGACGCGTGAATATCGAGACACGTCTCTCATGCATTAGTGAAAATTTCAAACATGACAGAATTACCCGATTTGGCCCTGTGACATCACATGATGTCACTGTAACGGTGGTGGTGATGGTCGCCGAACTAAAAGTGTTAGTGTCTGGAACTAACCAATCGCACGCCTCTTGCCCACAGTCTCCCACCAGGGACTTGCAAAATACCCAGCTCACTCCTACAATCACTGACACTCCTTTCAAACAGGGTAGTTCCACAAAATTGCCTTGGACAACCAATGCACATTGCCGGAATCTCACAGTCAATGCCATGGGCGCAGAGATGAAAGGTCATTGCATTGGCCCGATGCCTGTCCAGGAATTTCTTGAGGAGTTCCTACCGACTTCGGAGATACCAGATCTCCCTGCTTTAACTTTCAAAAGTGGTACATTTGATAGCACAATATGTGTCAGAAATGAGGTGCAGGCTTATGAACCATTTGTGAGCCTCCATGACTATCACATTGGGATTGCTGATAGTCTAACTTTGATGTTTCAGATTGCCACCATACAATCATTTGGCCCCGCTTTATCATTTGTTGATACTTCCAACTCTCAAGACACAAATATTTCTTCAACATTCTCATTCACTGTCAAGCCGGACATCAATGTATATGCTGATGGAACATCGCACGGCTGCAATGTTTCTACCACAGAAGTTATCATCAAATTCAAGTGGGATGCCATCCATGATGCCTTTTGTGACCCTCCTCTCCACTCAGATGTTGGCAGATTCTCCTTTATCAACCAGACCATAAAAGGCATGGACACATTAGGGCAAATCACAAGCTACACTGCAGCCCAACTTGGCACCCAATACCATCCCCACATTTTCTTGGTCCTGAGTATGCAAAATTTCGCTTGTATCATCAGATGGGACATGGAAGGAGCCATTGTCACTTGCACCTTCGATTACAACAAATATCCACACTTAGCCAACTTTTTCCGCCGTTTTTCACAAGCATCGCCTGCATTGTGTGGTGTCAATACATCAGTGACACCCACTAGCTCTGAGGAGGCCATTCGCACACGGTTGAGGTTAACCTTCATGCCAACACACCCATGTTTGCGGTTATCATCCCTGCTGCCGAGGGTGATGGTTCATTCAGGCTGATTATTCCTGCACCTGTTCCCCATGGTCTTTCGCCTGTTGGCCATAGGACACGTGCATGTCCTGCATTTGACCCCATCCATGACAAAATTGTCATGTTCAAGGACTTTTGGCGGGTGGCATTGCCTGACATCTTACCAGAGGGTGTAACTTACAAACTCTTGAAGGACACCAATGTTCACAATGTTATGACATGCATTGCATGTCATGATGTACCATCTCTCCCTCAGCAACGCATGCAAACTTTGAAGTTTGCAAATGCTTCATGGGTATGTCATCATGAGCCTCTCACTCTAGCCCTCAATCTTGTTGGCAAACCATTGATACAATTTATGAGCTCTTGTCAAGTTGTTGAAGCTGTTAGTGATGCACTGATTGGTACGTGTTTTGGAACTCACATCACACATCATATTTACATTTCCACAGTCCATGACAATGCATGTAATAAGGCGGGCGTGTTACATCGAGACATCAGTGTTGGGAATGTGGTTATCCATGGTGTTGTTGGCATTCTCATAGATTGGGATCTTGCAAAGTTACACAGCATTCAGGGTCCTCGACAAATCACATGCACATTATACTTTTGTGCTAGGTTTTGTGTCACCAAGGGCACCTGGCAATTCATGTCTGCCAACCTTGTCGAAAACAAACACTCCACACACACCATCGAGGATGACCTCGAGTACAGTTTTTATGTCATTTTTTGGGTCGCCTTGATGTACACAGAGAGTTATATGACCACCCTCACTCGGTCACTACTCATTGAAGAGGTCTTTGAGGCTGAGGAGATAGAGGGGATTGGATCAAACACAAAATCAGCTTTTCTCATCTCGAGATGGCAAATCACCGGGGATGTGTTTGTTGGGCGCAAAGCACTTGACAGGCTTATCTTTGCACTTGCTGAACTCTTTGCTCTTCGGTACATTTTGATGGCTGATGAGGAGCAGGATGTATTTGACCAAACATTCCCATGCCTGGAGCTCACAAGGTCACATGCCAAGATCATAGCTATTTACAATGAATACCTCACAATGAATACTTAGCTTCCTTATGAGGTTCCCAAATGGCAAACTCTCAGTGACAATGAGAAGCACAAGCCACAGGAATTCTTCATGAAGTCACGATATCCCTCCCTGGTACCATGCACTGGGAAGAGACGAAGGTCAAACTCAGAGTTGGACTTGGACTCAAGTAGCTCTTATGGCTGAAGCTGGCAATTGTACGTTCCATTTGCTATGTTCTGTCGGGTGATTGGTGTTTCATCGCTTGACTCTGATTATGCACTACTACACTATACATGTTTTGAATACCCGCTTACTGTCAGTATTACCTACAATGAATTAGGATTTCTTTTTGTGTTGCTCCTGACCGGGTATCTCGAGTATCTCGACTCCTTTGGTACTGAATGCACTGTTTTTTGTGTTGTATTCTTAGCCTAGTCAGTAACTCATCTGATCGTGACCTACTTATTGTTTTTACAAACAAATACAGATTACTTGTAGCAATACCCTGACAACAACAAAGGTATTTATTAAACTGAATGAATTTTATGAAAGACCGCTGTGAGTATGCTACACCGCATTATGTCAATGTCAATAATTTTGACAATTATTCAGCTCGACAGACCTGTATATATAGTTATCTTTGCAGCTTCACAACCCGCGGTGCATCATTGGCTCAAGCTCCACTGTTACTATAGCACTGAGTTCACCTTGGAAGAAAAGTTGAGGGTGCACTATCATACAAGCCCTATACCGCATTCCGTCCATGTCCTGTAAATGCGGGTCCATCTGTCCTTCATGCTCCTCATTCTGCTGCATCTACTCCCACAGTAGTCTTGTCATCAGCATCTCAGTTCCAGTCCTCTGTTTTTGCATTCAATCTCACAGTCCCCCAACCCACCATCACTTTGTCAACTCAGGTAGCGCCTCCTTTCCAATTCTCTATCCCTGCATCGACTGCTGTCACTGTGTCTCTTGAATCTCACCCTGTGACTTCTTTCCCGACTGAATCACCACTTGATTCTTCTGTTGCTGGATCGAGAATAGATCGTAGGAATCATTGAATATACACTCAGCCTGATGGCCTGTCATCCCACAGAGGAAGCAGTCGTTCAAGGAGTCCTGATATAGACAGTCTCGTCGTGCAAGCACTCCATATGCAGGTGAGTGTCAAGGTGCACGTCTTATAATATCGACTGCTAATGTGCTGCTACAGGCACCGGTCGTCAGCCCTTGATTTTCTCTGCATCTCCATGTTAAGATGGGAGTGAAGTGGGCCACTTTACCATGAGTATGATGGCACAATAAGACACATAGAAGACATAGAAATGTGTACTGTAGAGGTGAATGATCATCTAACTAACACTTACAGATGATAAAGTTGGCTCAGCACTTCGGGAATTCCTGATATCAAGTAAATTTGTATTGTGTGGCCACATCCTTGTACCCTTCCATCTAAGGAAGGGAGCATGTACCTTTTGGAAATGAACCAGAACATTGATTGGCAGACAAACCTTTGCATTCCTCTATTGTTCTCCCGCACAGATGCCACTCCTGCGGTGAGGCTGTCATCATGTACTATTCAATGAGGCTGTGTATTCTTTACTGAGGCCATTAACATGTGTTCTTTGCTTGCCCTTGATTTGGTACCATTCTCACATCGACAATTTAATGTACACAATGTTGTGTGATCTTGACCTGCTTAAAGGTGGGCTATTACCTCAAATTAACAGCGACTTCATCATTGATCACCTCATTGTTGCGCATACAGAATAACATGTGTTCTCCCTACCAAATGCACTACGATATACTACATAATTAAATAGTGTGTGACACATGTTCAGAATTGATATAAGGGATGGTGTAAACTGAACTCAGCACTCACAGCTCAAACCTTCCCCTTGCTCTTACTTTCTTAGCATGTCTCAGCAACATGTACCAGAGGATATTGAAGTCACAGAGAGCGGCTCCACAAGCTTTGATTCTGACTCTGACAACCTGTCATCAGACTTGGATGAGGAGCTCATGAAGGTCTGCGCTGCTGTTGCGTCTCCACCGGATGGTGCTTCGATTGCAGACCTTCATAAGGCAAGTGCTGTCTTAATCCTTTCCAGGTGTGTTGCAGGCTCTAAGTTGATTATCCAGGCGCTTGAAACTGCACAAAAACATCTGTTGAACATGCGAGGCCGGCAGCAAGAGCTTTTGAAGTGGAATGTGCTTCTGGAGACTTCATACTGGCATTGAGATTCACTGCTATTTGCACTGAGCAAACTTGAGTCTATGTCCTGATAGATGAAGCCTGTGACTTGGCTGACCGGACAGTATTGCAGAATATAACAGCTTTATCTCACAAACGAACTCTAATGGCATGGAGTGCGTCATTGGCCTAGCGTTCACAGAGGGTAATTTCTTCATTCATGAAATCGGTAAGGCCTAACTTCTTGCACCTGACCTGACCAATGTTGGATGGCAGGGGTATGACAGTGAGCTCTGGTTGAAATATGAAAGTATTGTGTATATCTGGATCAACATTGTGATCATTGTTAAGATCAGAGTAATCTTCACAATCGTCATGAAGTGAATTACAAACAATATTGAGAGGAAAATCCAGGTCATTGACATTAACTTCAACTCCAAGATACGTATGTGCCATTTTGAGAAAGCATGTGATGTGAGTATGAAGCTTGTCGTGGTATTGGGCCACTTTCAATAATTGCATATCTGTGGGATACTTCCCTAACCTTTTCACATCCCTAGAGAGAGAGAGAGAGAGAGAGAGAGAGAGAGAGAGAGAGAGAGATTTTGGATTCCTCTATGGTGAGACTGGTTGCGAGCCAAGTTGCAGCTTCTCATTGACCGGGGGAGTTATTAACTAGATGTTTAGGGTGATTTTGAGCCTGCAGCAGGCGCAACTCCTGCTGTGTTCTCATGGGAGCTGCCCATGTACTGGTGATCAGACCTGTTGAATGACCTGTAAAAATTGACACTTACCCTTTTCTAACCGGACCTCATAAATGTCCATTGCTGTAGGATCCTCTGCTCAGATCACGTGAGCCAGTGCCTCCTCTGCCTCCCAAAGAATGACCATGTCAGGGTGGGCTGTCTCACTGAGATGTTGGAATGCAAGTTTGCTCTCCACAGCACCCTTAATGGCCTCTTTCAACTTTCTGGAAAGAAACTTAGCTACAGGATGAGCCAGCCAGAAATGCATTGTAGACCATATATAAGTTTATATAGTCCTTGAACTTGCACTTCCATTGCTGGAGATATGCATTCTAACTCTGCATGATCTGGTCAGATCCAGACTCTAGAAATGAAGACGACTGCTAATTGCCAGAGATTTGGGTAATTTAGGCTGGAGGATGTCACCTTGGTCAAAGTCAAAGTTGGCACCTTCATAGAGCATGTCAGAGGACCCAGATTGATGCTTTGAGGGAGATTTTGTTGGTGATGATATTACTGACTTTGTTTGGAGACCACAAATCTTTTACCTAAAATGACCCAATCGTTTCTTTATAGGAGGGATGTATGTGATTCTCTTTTGTTTGGTCTTTGCCATATTAATGCTACCACTGGAAAGGATCATTAGACTAGGGAGTGTGCTTTAAACTTGATGACTGGTAGGCACATGACTTCACTGCAGTGCCTTCCATCAATCCCAGACTTCAGGAGATTTGAACCGTCGAGATTACCACATTTTCCCTTGTTAGTCATTGAACATTATTCCTGTTTAGGATATATTAATGTTGGAGTTGATGAGGTTGCCATAGTTGCATCATCTATTAAACACAGTAATCCTGTCATTATCCCAAGTTGTATGGATTTCATGTTCAAGTTAGATGACAATTGACTTGAAAACCTACGTCGACCAGAGGTTACATTTCAAGGTTCAAATACTTCTTTCTAACCAGCGCCACGGGCTTTGGTCTCAGAGAAGTAATCCAGTTAATTAAGAGGGTTTGGCAGTAATATGCATTGGGTTAACTTCAGTTAGGGCACTGGCATTATGAAACATGCTCCGAGAGAACAGTTCCAACCAAATAACTCATTCTACTAACATAAACCAGCTCTTATTTGAGCTTCAGGACACCAGCTGTTTATATCCACATTCATGCTGGCCTCCAAAGGCATTTGTGATGATACTTACTCAAGCAAGTCATGAAGTATAGTTGCACAGGGCCTGTATGCAGTATTTGAGAGTATAGCTATATGCTGCTCACATGCTATATGATAAAGGTCTAAGTCCATATGCTCTTACTGCTCTACATTCTGTGCACCAAAAACACATGGAATGTTGAGGATATCATGTCAATTGACAAGTGTTGACTCGCTGACAGACAATCTCTTGTTCATTTTGCTGTCATATACATTGGTTATGTAACCTAATACTGTGATATACACATACATCCTTTCTTCTACCAAGACCTCAACTGCTTTGCGATATCCTCATTCAACTGAGTTCATCAGTAGACAGCCCAAAGAATAGTTGATTTTCTAATTCTATATATGATTACTGACTTTTATCATGATGTATCAAGATATACCAGGACTGGTTATATAACTGGAGACCTGAAAAGACTCACAAAAAGAAGCCAGCAAGTTGGGTCAGAGATGGACATCCCGGTCGGTGATAGAATAACTGTGCAAGGAGGAGATCATCAAAAAGACCAGAGCAAGGCCAGGATCAAAGATATTTATTGAAAGATACCAGTCAACCCTCACTGCAGTCATGGCCAGTCTATCTAAAGAGCAGCTGAAGGAAGCTCAGAACACTGTGATTGAGTGGTCTGACAAGGCTCCTCCTATAGGCATCTAGGCCGACTTTGTAAAGAAGAAAGCACCTGGTATGATGAAGGATCTGGCGAATAAGTTATGGAAGCAGGCCGGTATAAGGATATTCATATTATCAGCATGGAAAACAGAGGAAGGTGAAGTGAGGATCAATGTGTGAGTTCCACTTTCACACTCAATCACTAAAGATTGCCTGAAGGGCAATAATTTTACAGATACAAAGGACTACAAGCCCAGTGGAATGCCTATGCTGGAGAAGAGTTCAGTGAGCTACTTTTTCAAAATCTTGTGTCATTCAGTCAAGTACTTATCACACTTGGGGGTGATACCAGATGTTGACCTGAATAATGATGACAACAACAATGAGTGGGAGGTGAAGAAGAGCAGAAAGAAAGGGGGAAAGAAGGACAATTATCCTTTGGAGGTGGATAGCTATGGGCTTCCAGTTATACCGGACATTGAAGATCTCAGCCTAGAGAGTAAAAAGTGTCTTATCTGAACATTTCTCACAAAACACTACAGTCAGTTTCACAAATCATGCATCTGGAAAGTTGATAGACCAAGAAGCTATTTTTCAGGGTTTTGTAGCCAATAACCAAAGGCGTCTATTCCTTGGTTCTCAGTGAGGAAGGCTCCGGGTGACTTTGTTGCAGCCAGGTATTTACCTACCGGCACAAAAATGGACAATCCGTCAAAGATTTGGTTGGCTGTTAGAGTTTTGGCGTCAGAGACAGAAGGATAAGATTTGTCCAACCTTTGAATTCAAAGCCTAGGTGTTATGTCTTGGATAGGTCGAGCCTTCTCTAGCCGAATGGCTAATCGTCTAGTGGTCATACATAGACAGCAGGATGAGTTCTAGCTCAGATGAAGCCCAAGGTATCCTCCGACAAGCTTGGTAAGTGTGGTGGCTCGTCAAGCTGTAGGGCTAATGGATGTATGGCTAAGGTAGTGTCGGCTTGCCTTAGAAGTGCGGTCAAGACAGTGGGACTAGAGGTCACACTGAAAGGAGTTTCAAGGGAAAACCAAGTATATCAAAGTAGGGAAATACAATGACATGTGTCTAATCTATATAGGTCTATCCTATAAGGTTCAGGAGGAGTCTGTATCTATGGATCTATCTGAGTTAAGATAAGTACATGAGGCGGGTCCGGCCTCTGAGTCTCTGATGCATGAGGCAGCATGTGTCGGTCCAGTTCTACATGAGGTGGACAGCCATCATGATGAGATTGGGAGGCCTTTTAGGCCAAGACAGTGGTCTATGCTGCTCTAGGTATCTGGTGGCATCCAGGCTGCTCTAGGCTTCTGACAGTGTTCCGCTGTGTCAGTAAGTCGTGAAGAGGGAACATAGAGTAAAGGCAGCATGTTATTGTAACACTGGGAAGACAATGACAAGACGATGAAAGAACCAGTAGATACAATCTCAGGCGACAATTCAGATACCAGACCCAGAGTACCAGTCAAAAAGTCAACCAGAAAGCCCTGCAGGAGGGTGAGACAGGAGTCAAGTGGGGAGGATGAGTGTGATGATGATGATGAGGGAGAGAAAGACAAGGAACACAAGGAAGAAGATGAGAAAGGCAATGAGGAACACATTGTCTGCTCACCTCCTTCAAAGTCCAAACCCTCCAAAAAGCAAGATAGGGCTAGCACAGTTCAATCTGAATTGCAACAGGAAGATCCTCGCCCACCAGTCAAGAATTCCATGCTGGTTGCATCACCACTTTTAAAGTCCAAATCAACCAAGAAGTGAGGTAGGGTTGGTCTAGTTCAATCTGATTCAGAGGAAGATTCTCGACCATCAGTTAAGAAATCCAAGCTGACTGGTGGGGGCAATAGATGGTCAGAAGACAATACTGGTACCAGTTCTGCTCAATCAACTGGTAATCATCTTGGTGATACTGTGCTGCCTTCGCACCATGTGTCTAAAAATCGTGCATTTGGTCCTACATCAGGTGTCCACACCACCTATCCCAGCAAAGGCCACTGGCAGGAAAACCAAAGGACATGATGCCCAGATTTTCCATCCAGAGCCAAAGTGCTCTAGTAGAACTGCAAAGGTGTCTTATAAAGCTCACTACATGCAAATGTAGTCTTGATATTAGTCGACATGTCAGCAATAACTCTTAAGTGCATTCAAGACCTTGCTGTCTCACAAAGGTTTCTTCCAGTGATATTGCACTACCAGCCCTATCAATCTCCAACCGGTGCATTCATCTGCAAATTGCCTACAGCCCGCTGAATGACAAATCCAATGGGATCTGAATGACTGACAACCACTGAATTTAAATCATGAATAGTTTTATATCCGAAAAAAATAAAGACATATATGACTAATCCAGAGCATCATGCACTGGATCCATCTCAAAACCCATCTCTAAAGGATTTTCTTCTGATTGAATATTATTCCCTATGTCTGGAACATCATCTACCGGATGTATGTTGAGCCTCATCTCCAGAGCCCCATATTCTAGTTCAAGATTATTTACAAAGATGAACAAGTCAAATTATTAGATATATAGTGCAGCGACATACCTGTGTTGCCGGAGGGATCACTGATGTCAAGATGGTTTGGCAAACTGTTCGCTGGGTAAGGTGTAGGATTGATATTGAACCCTGCATGAAGTGATTCTCCATCATCTCCAGACTCAAGTAGACATCCCATGTTGAATACATCATCAGCAGACTCTGGAGGACATTCCATTTCCAATGGACCCTCTGACTCTGTAGGAAATCCTAGGTCAACATCTTACCATCTGACCAGTCATCATCATACAAGATGGGGAATTGCATATCCAAGATGTCTGACTCTGGTTGACCATGGATGTCCAACATGCAGTCATTATCGGACAATGAAAACCCCAAGTCTAATGACCGGAAGTTGTCTGCTGTCTGCGAGTCCATCATCTTCAATCTTTTACAATCCTTCCACTAGTCATGAACTGACAGGACATCCAGGTCTGCAAGACAAATCTTAATTGTCCGTATGATAGCTCAGCATGAGAGAAAACTCACATTCAGCCATGCTTGAACAATCCATCAAAGGGTTGTTGTAAGCGCACTCTTGATGTCCTGGCTTTAATATATCAAATACTAGTATGCCAGAAAATGTCAACCAGAACATGCCTCATCAGCAAACTAGCAATTTCGTCACAGGTATCACAAGGTTTCACAAGGTGCCACAAGACACCAGAGGTCTTACAAACTTCACAGACACATAATCAAATACCACACCACTGATAGTGTCTACTATCCTTAACCTACCCTATATTGTTGTAATTTGTAATTACTGAAAATATAGTTGAAATATATATTAATCTTTACTGTACAAGATTTATTGACTCTGAGTGAAAATTAAATAGGATATATATTGAGTAAATTAGTGTATGATTCTATTGCAACTATCTGAAGCTACTATAGTCTTATTTATGTAGTAGTAAATAGAATGGTAGTGTTGTAGTGATAATTGACTAGACTGACTTAGGTCGAAAATTTTACCTCTTGGCTCGCCATATACGGTAGTGTACGTCACGTGACCCCGCCTTCCCGCCGCGGTTGGGGTGCTGCGCACACACAGCGAGAGGACGAAGTCGCGAGGGAACGAGGATGGATGATGGGGAGAAACGGATGGACGTGCTGGTGCTGGTGGGAGGCAAGTCTGGGAATCAATGAAAGGCTTGAGCATTAGGGCTAGGGACGTGTGTCAAGGATGTACAGTATGGAACAGTAACTGGTAGGTAGTGTAGTAGTGTAACAAGCTCATTGAGATGATTAGAATTGGATGGGACCTACGAGACTTGGCCTGAATTAACGAGGGACTCCAATGGCATGCTGGGCAACAAAAAGGGAGGGACTTTGAAGTGTTGGTGCCGAGAAAAAAGAAAAAGAAGAGTCTAAAAATCATCAGCGCAGGTCACTGGCAGCGTGCGCGGGAAGTATCACTCACTACTTTCGAGGGATGATATCCCCGCGCTCCTTCTTCGCGCGGTTGATTGCCCGAAGCAAAGCTGTGTGGCCCACAGTGGCCTCTGGATATGCGGCGAGGAATGCAGGCTCATGTCCATTGAACCTAGTGTGTGTGCATGGAATGATGATGGGTGGGGACAGTGAGAGCAGTTCGTGTGCCAGAAAATTATGAAATCAACTCACCGGTCAAGAAACTCCAGTGCGATCACTGAGTGCTGGTGGTACTTCATCGCAAAAAACTTCTTGTTCTTCCCGCGGATCCACTCAGGCGGCCAATCTCAAAGTGGAAGTAGCAATCCGTGCTTAGGGTCACCATCCGTCCAGTGCTTCACAATCTGTCTCCAAGAGGCAGCTCTGGGGGTGTGGGTCCCATCAGGGTGTCGTGTTGGGACATCAGGGATGACAAGTCCCTTCTCAGGTAGTACTAGCGAGTGGGAACCAACTTGAACGATGCCGCCGTCTGTGATTTGAGTGACTGCAGAGGGCTGTGGGAGAGTGGAGGAGAGAATAGCAGGGCAGTGTGGCTGAGACTCAGAGCTGGGTGGCTGGGACGAGTGATGAACGATGCAGGGGTTGCCTGGGTTGGACAGCGGAATTGACGAGTGCGGAGCATTGCACATGCCTGTGCTGCTGGGTGAGTTGGGCAGGTTAGTCAGCTGTCCGTTGTAGAGCGTGGCTGCAAGGATGCGTAGGTCACTCCGCAAACCTACAACATCAGCTGAGATGCATTCATGCATCAACTGGAGGTCCTGGATGCAGACGGGCTTGACAAGCAAGTGCTCTCCAAGCAGAGATGCATCAGCTTCACGCTGTGTTGGACAGAGGGCATCACTATGGTCGTTTTCATAGGTGGAGAGCTCGTCGAGGAGATACCGGATCAGTGTGTCGCGCTAAAAGTAATTCATTGTCAGAAACAGAAAAGCTCAAGTCAGTCTGAGACTCACATTCTCATTCTCTGCCCATGAACCCCACCACCTGACCCTCGCGAGAGTCCAGCACTGACCGATAGGTGCAAACATCCAACGCCACTGTGCACCACCACGTCGATAGGTGTGGGTCGTGAAGTTGTCACCTGCGCCTCGTGGGATTCCTGCTTCTGTGGTTGCTTCGTCGATCCATGCTTGAACAGTGTCATGCGAGATAGGTTCACCATAGTGGACAATGCCATTTGCACCTATGGCAGGAAAGATATAGTCTTTGGGCTCGAGTTTTCGACCATAGTGGGCAACTTCAAAAAAGGTAAGCCAGAGTAAGAGCCAGAAGAAGCAGTCGCAGCCTGGTAGGTCTGGCTGTGGGTAGAGCTTGTACCGGTTGCCTGATGATGAGGGTAGCAGGAGGTTAATGTTCGAATTAGTATGACAGACAACTGGTGTAACTAGGCACTCACTTCGTAGGTCTGATTCCTTCGTGCCCTTGTCTACTCTCCGCTGCCAGCCTTTTCGGTTGGAGAAAAACACCTTGAAATATGTGTGGAGGTCCTTCGAGCACAGTTTCTCGCCATTTAGATATCTTGTGAATGTTGTGCCAACTTGGAAAAAATCGATGGTCAAGTCTTTCCGTTTGAGTTTGATGAGCTCGAAGCACCTGCCATGGGTTGCTTCAAAATTTAGCAAGCAGTCTGTATTGAGTGAGCTGACCTCGTCCACAGGTTCCAGGCCGTTGTGCTAAATGCTTGGTACATCGTCATCTTTGTGAGCAATTCACGCGATTCCAGTGTGAGGGGTTCCATGCTCGTCGTATCTGCTGCCAGAACTGACCTCATAAGCCCAAGGAATGTCTCCGGCGGGCAGAGTTTGTGGGTCCAGGCCAGGATTCGATCCATGAATCCTTTTGACATTGCAATGGAGTGAGTTCTGTCCCCACCCTCACTGCTGGTCTTGTGCTTGACAGACTTGATGATGTCTTGAACCTCAGCTGACGATGCGGGGTTTCCTTCCCAGCATAGGTGTGCCTCATTGAAATGCCACCTCCCACGGTAGGTATCTCCATCCCTGGACAGTGGCACATTCCGTCAAAAATCATAAGTATGAGACTCACTGACACAAATATGGCACTCACGCTTCCTCCCAGAATTTTTTGAAGGCTGAGTAGGTCCCGTCGCATGTGCTCTGGCCACAGTTCTCGTGGAAACACTTGAAGGAGATGAGGAGTGCGAGGGCCTTGTCAGAATGTTGGTTGGGCATCCTCTCGAGTGCATCTCTGAATGTGGGATCCTCGTAGGCATCAGTACTGATAGACATGGTCTCTGAATCCATGCTTGCCACGGCCCCCCTGCTAGTAGCAAAATGTGCCTTCAGCCATGTCTGTCCTCGTTCCACATACCCATTGTAGTTCTCACGCGTCTTCTTTGCATGCTTGTGCTGTTGCTTGGCCCTTTCCTTGACTTTGTTGATGGCCGGCAGGGTGGTATTTCCTGTGGGCACTGCCCCCTTCCGTCGCTTCCTTGGGCTGGCCTCTGCAGCATGAGGGGAAGGAGGCCCTTTGCACGATTTCAGCTTGGTCCTCACCATGGTTGGCCGAATGGACAAAGTAAGTTGAGTTTTGGGTGGTTAAGGCGAGTTAAGCAGGAGTTAAGTGCAGGACCACCCAAAGTTGGTCATAAATCTGGTAAATCTGTCGTAAATCAGTAAATCTGAGGACCCACCGGTACAGTGGACCTTTCACGTCACTGGTGCTAAGCTCAAGTGATCCATAAATCAACCCAAGTACTTCGGTCTGAAAACATGCTCACTATTATATTCAAACAGACTACTAATATTATCCACTGCACTGTACCGTTGCACCTGTTCGACGATTGGTCTTTCGACGTTGAAGGACGAAAGGGACGACAAAGAAGCAGAAAACCGGCGGGATGGGCGCGCTTAGTCAGCAGCAGCAGGCGCGGCAGATTCCCATTTACGGTTTTTACCTGCCAAGCGTAAATTTCGTCAAATAATCCAACTTAGTAGAATTTTCGCATTTGGTCATGTGACATTTCTTTGGTATATATTGCTATCATTAATGTGGTTTAACAATAGTCTTGTGGCTTAGTGGTTATTATGATACACTTGTAATTGCTAAGGTCTTGGGTTCAATTCCTATGAAATGCAAATTATAATGTGTGAATAATATCACCTGATGTGACATGTTGTGTGACTTATAATACAGTCTAGTGACACTTCTTTTGGCCTTTGTGGTCGAAAATCCACAAGCCCACAAGCTTTACAAAGAGTACAAGGTGACCTTGTACAGTTTGTGCAAGCCTATACAGCAGGGACTTAGCTGTGGGCTTGTAGGCTTGTACAAACTTGTACAAGGGCCCACTAGTTTGCTGATATTGGAGGTGATGGTTTCTCATCTTCATCCTTACTGGAAAAACATAAATTATGCTCAAGAATCACTGATAATGGCATTCTTTGCATTCATTTCTTGAATGCTTTGCGGTTCTTCATCCAATCACCAGAAGAATAAATGTGTTCAAATGGAGCCTGTGACCAGCTGCTCATGAGTCAGTTGGCAATAATTGATTGCTAGTAATGTGTCAACAATAGAATTCATTAAAATATATATAATGATAATGTGAACAATGGACTCAGACATGTCTGAGTCGGCCCACACATTCAGTGATTGAAAGGTTTTACAAGTGTTTTGTACAGATTACTTCTAGGTGTCTTTTCTTCCACTTTCTCATAGCTTAGCTGCAACTCCCATTGTCTAACCAACATGTCTTCCAACTCCATTTCTGCGTCTGCCGCTGCTTCTGCCAACCAGGCTCTCATCGCTTTCGTCACCAGGCTCAATGAGATTATTCAACAGGTTCTCCAGGCTCAATCGCAAGAGGAGAAAATGGAATTGAGCCAGAATATTGCTTACAAAGTGGTATGTTTGACATCCTGTTGGTTGCCTGAATTGATACATAGGGTCACAGAATGAGGCCATTCATTTCCATGGGAGGGTAGCTACCTACATTCCCACTGGCCTGCTGTCACTGGCAGCTGAGATCTTTTGGGCTCAGAGGCACACCACTCAATTGGAATTGGGTTGAGAAGAATGCAGATATGTGCATGAAGCATCCTTTGTATGATGAGATATTGGGTCATGCACCTCCTGTTACAACTGCAGCTGCTGGTACAAATGTTCATGCTATCATTTCACCTGTACTGACACCTCATTGCACCTGCACCAGCACTGTCACCGGTACCTGCATCTGCATCTGCACCTACGCCATTGCCGGCACCAGCACTAGCACCACTCAGCATTTGCATCCCCTGCAATGCAGCATCTGCTGTGACTGTACTGGCAGAACCATCAAAGTCGAGCAAATGACAACTTAGTGCTAGCCCCCCTCTGCATCAGATCAACAGGGCCCGAAAGTGTGTCCTAAAGTCAAAGGTAATCTTGTCGGACACCAACTCTGACTCTGACAAGGCCAAGAGAAAGGGAAAGGCACTGGAAGTATTACTGGCATAGCACACAGCCCTGAAAATCAATATGAAAACCTGTTGTCCCTCCTACAAACAAGGGTACTACACCAAAGGCAAGTGAGCTGGTTGAGATTCAGGACGATGAAGAGGATGAATTGGATGATGATGATGTACAAGGCAAGCAAAAGGCAAGTTCATTTTTTTTATTTTATTTTGCCAGTCCATCATTGATCCTGATGCAGGCCATTCTCAAGCCAGGGAAGTGACAAAAAATGGTGGATTTTTCTTGTCATTGCACTGGTCATATATACCGCTAACATCATCCAATACAGTCCATAGGCAAGAACAAGGACAAGGGCAAAGGGCCAACAACCAGTGAGTCTTCTAGTCAATGCCATGTTTTACTATACTGAGTCTTCATAGCCTAGCCTTGCTCGACCACCTTGTGACAGATGCCGGACAAAGAATGTGTAGTGTAGTGCCAGGTTGATGAAGAAAGGCGAGATTGCCTTATGTTGCACTTTGTGCCATCTGTGGAAGGTGGCATGCATCCGAACTAACCCTTCGATATCAGGTAGCACTGCTGTCACCACCATCACCCCCAAAACTGCCACTGCACCATATGTGAGCACAGTAGCCACTCGCTTCAAAACTACCCAGATCAGGGCAACCAGACAGAAAAAGATCAGTGGGCAGTCTCAAGGCACAGGCAAGTCATTTGTATCCAGTTGTTTTTCTGTGACTAACAATGTGTTCACTCCAGATACATCTTGGATGGGAGGCCAGACTGGTGGTGATATGTTAGGTGCTGCAGATGGCTCACCAATTACAAGGCAAGACCAGGTGCCATCTACTTCCACCATAGCACCTTCACTCACAATGAGGGCATGCAGATCATTTGTTTCCTTCAGTTGGTGCACCACCAGTGCAGCCTCCTATTGTGCCAGTAGCATCCATGCCTTCCACTGGTACCCCTCATATATTCATCACCTGGCCATCAAATGTGCCGGATGATGGGCAGTCCATCTCAGCTCCTTTACTACACACACACAATATATCCCCACAAGCCTTCCAGTGATGTGCTGACGTACTACTAGCCTATATCATTAGTGTTTTTGTCTTTACTAGTGATCTACATTATGTTGTCACCATTGTGTTCTTGCAGTGTGCAAGATAATTTATCAGATAATCATACAGTTGACTTGAATAACCTGCATTTCAGTTGATACGAGGAACATTGCTTTACCAGATGGTATTTTCTTCAACAGAATGTCCATCTACCAGATGGTATGCATCTACTGCATATCATGTGGCCCACTCATCTTCATTGCACCCTATACCTCGGCCCACTCGTCTCCATTTCACCCTATACATCAGCCCACTCGTCTCTATTGCACCCCATCACCTTAGCCCACTCGTCTCTATTGCACCCCATCACCTTGGCTCACTTGTGTCCATTACACCTATTTCCCTGGCCCACCTATTTACATTGCACTCCATTCTTCTGGCCCACTTGTCTCCATAGCACATTGGATTCACTGCTATTCATAATCATAATCTATTATATAGTATATTCCTATACTACCATCTATACTATATATCACTGGCCCATCCAGTTGCATCAGGTACACAACACCCTTGGCCCACTCATCTTTCATGGTACAATTATTGCCATGGGCCCACATGGGCTGGCCTGTCTCTATTGGTACATTATCACCCTCAGCTAGTGTTGCCACAGCTCTGGCTTACTGCCAGTTTTAGCCGTGGCCACAGCCATGAATAGCCAAGTGGAGCATGTGATTGTAGCCATAATTTATGGCTCAGTCCAGCTAAAACCACTACGGTTAACTCGACTTAACAGCTCGAAGCCAGCTCAAACAAATGAAATTAAAAAATATTTTTCAAGTTTATTTTTAAACCATAAGTCAAACAATAGACTCGTCGAGACGCAAGACTTGAGTACTGGAGAGCCAAAAAGGGAAGAAGCTGTAGCATAGCCTCTAATTGATCACACAAAGCCGCAACATACTCTACTCTTAAAATCAACATGTAGCAGACACCGATGGGTCCCCTAAATAATGTGAATAATCCTGTTAACATTGGATCAAAAGCTAAAACAAATGTTAGAAATACTGCAGCCTCGATCACGCATGAAAATTACAAGATTGGGTGATGTCATGGGGGCCTTCACAAAACTATGTGTCAAGGCAAAAACTGGCTGAAAGAGCCGCTGAAAGGCAAAGAGATCAGGAGGAGGTTAGTCAGGAGCAAAGAGAAGCAGAAGGAGTCATTCAAAGGGCGTGGAGATCGAGGTGGTGACGCTGGCTGCTGAAAATGTTGGGTGGCGATGTAGGTTTACAACTCAGTGTGGTGCTATAGGCTCCAAACCGATATATTTATGTTGTAGGTCGTCCAACACCTAGTCTGCTATACTTGCGGAACAAGTGTGTTCGACTCTAAAGGGGAAGCTAGTGCAGCAAAGGTCTAGAAATGAGTGCAGAAGGTGCTGCTTAGCGGCCGATGCAAAGTGTGGGAAAGTGGTGGATGCGCATGCGGGAACGAAATGGCAGCCGAAAGCCGAAGGCGTGGGAAGAACATGGCTGCGAAGCGGCCGATGCACGAGTGGTTTGGATGATGATAGAGAAGATAGACAATAGAAATAGATGTAAAGCGGTGTCTTCTTACTTGAGGTGTCTTATATAAAAGTGGTCAAAAGGCAATGACACCACAATTACACTTTTGATAAGACTAGATGCTGCCAAACAACCTCAAGTTCGCAGTCTACGACTTTTCTTCTTTCGTGGTAGATAACACGTCGTTCATGGGAGGTTACCTGCTATACAGCCCAGTGGTGTGATTCTACTTAGAACAGTAGATGTTCTACAAGAGAAATCTAACTTTATCTGGCAAGACAGATAATGTAGACTTTGTAGAGGAATATCTAGCCTTTCCTATGGCTAGATGGAAAATACTTAATACAAATAAGTCTCTCTAGTCTTTTTTGTTGACTAGACAGATAAGTGATGTGAGGTGTGTACTGTTGTGCAACTGGTTGCAACTGGATGTAGCAGATATTGCTAGAATTTCCCCCACCTAAATATGAAAGGACTTATTGATGGGAAATAGAAAGATTTGTATGACTATGCGATACAAATCAAAGATGCTGATTTGGACTCCTTTGAAGTAAAGTACAAAGGATGTATCCAAAAAAAATAGGATGTTAGTGTATAACCAACTGTGTGTTATACAACTACAATAATACAATGGATGCATACAACTACGAGTTATACGATTTGAAAATATGTATGCAGATAGTCCAACAAAGGAATCTGCAGGCACAGATAAATGGCTTGACTTGATACTCCTAGTCCTCTGAAATGTATATCAGATGCACACTAGACAGTATAGGTACAGTCAAGAAAAGAGTAAAATGATCTCAGAGCAAGTTTAGTTACTTGGTCTGCACTTTCCGGCTAACACAAAGAGTGTCAATGTCAGAGAAAGTGGAAGAATGTGAGGGGGGGATTCCTTCAAATATTTGACAGGAAAATGAATTCTTGTATTTTTGGGTGGAGATTGGTTCTCCTTTTATACATGAGATGAGCAAAACTGTATAGTACCAAGAAATAAGATTGAAAAGAGGAATGACATCAGAATTGCATCATAAATGACCTCATTGTGGAGCAATGTGGAGCATTTGCGGAGCCAAGTGGAGTGGAATATTCTAGCATCCAATGACATCATATGACATCATGGGTGACATCAGGGAAACCAACAGAATAGGCCAGAACTATCTGTGGAGCCATATGACATCATTATGATATCATACCTTGCTGGTACATTTTATGAAGCATCTGGGATGTCAATGAATCATATACATAAAGAAATGAAAGAAAACCATAGGGAAGATAAGGTAGGAATAATCATAAAAGTAAATAAAGCAAAAACACAGGCTTTTTTTGTTAGGGTTTTTGTAGGCTTTTAACTTTTCTCGTTGGTTATTTGTAGTCAAAGTAAATAAGCCAAAAGTTAGGTAATAACCTAAGCTTTTGTGTACCTATGTCAATATATGATTTCTCTATCATATTTGACTTTTCTTCAAAACACCGTACTTTGTGTGATTGGAGCATACAAGGCTATCTGTTGCACTCGAGTCTATACTCAAAGTACATTTTGTGCAGTCTGAGGACAAGGCTAACAGACTGTAGATATGTGGGATAATATGTCATGTATGTGTTCTGCATGATTCCCATATCATGCAGGACAGCGGACGATAACAAACACGATGCGGGCGGTAAATAGATATGGATTGCCAATAGCTACCAACTGTAGGCTAATGGGAGTTGCTACTGGAATGTCCAAAAAACAAGCTCTAATGATATGTGCTGCTAGTGTTTAAGTATTGTGCTAAGCGCTGTCATGCGGAACCAAGCCGATGTGCTACTGAGTTAGGTATGTAAAGCTATATGTAAATAAGGGTCTATGACGAAATAAAGGGGGTGTGATGCGGCTAAGCGCGGCTGTGAATGCACATGGGAACACTGCGGCTGTCGTGGGAAAGTAGCAGCCGCTAAGTGTGGTGTAGAGACTTGTGCCTCTCATTGTGTGATATGGCAGTTTTCACTACATCAGGAAACCTACATTTCTGCTGATGTTCCTGTCCCCTACTGAACTATCTGATATCAGACCTACAGGTAGTGCAGTCATGCAGCAATTGCTGAATTCAGTGCCATACCTGAAATCAGTGGTAAACAGCCCTACAGATACTCAGAGGTACTGTTTGTGTACAATTCAGGATGTCAGTTTCTAAGAGATGCAATATATCAGATATGTAGTTTAGTTTGTACAAAAGCCTCACAGCACATCACACAACATCAGGACATCATGATATTCAAAAACATCAAAAATCATATTCAAAGTAGCTACTACATTGGTATATACACTACTAACTAAAAGAAAGAGAGAGAGGACCAAAAATGCGAAAATATATAGCCTGAAAATAAGCAGGGAGTCAGTCTTCAAAGGAGAGGAGAGGAGGGAAGAGAAGAGACTCACCAAAAGGACCAAAAATGCGAAAATATATAAGCTAGAGGTAAGCAGAGAGTCAGTCTTCAGAGGAGGAGGAGAGAAGAGAAGAGACTCACCAAAAAGACCAAAAATGCGAAAATATAATGAGTAAGGAGTTAGTCTTCAGAGGAGAGAAGAGAAGAAAAGAAAAGAAAAGAAGAAAGACTCACCAAAAAGACCAAAAATGCGAAAATATATAAGCTAGAAGTGAGCAGGGAGTTAGTCTTCAGAGGAAAGGAGAGGATTAGATTGGAAACTTACCATTACACCAATCCCAAAGCCCCATCCACACCAACACATCCCAACTTGAATATCTAGGAGCCTGACCTAAGGGCAAGGGAGGAAAAAGAAAAGGATTGAAAAAGAAGAAAGAGAAGAGGGCAAGGAGACTTGAACAATGTCAAAAGACTTGAATTGTTGGACACATTTTTGATTATATAAGCTTTCCCACCTAACTTCAACCAACATCACATGACTGCTTATATCATCAAAAATGCGAAATTTCACTAAGTCCCTGCTACACTATGGTACTAGACATTAACATTAGTATAGTAGTGTAGTATACATTGTATATAATAAAATATCATAGAGTTTATTTTAATATATATCTCTAATGTAACTACTTAGGAATCAGTTAGTAGTAAATTGTTATTGGATAATAGATAAACATCCGACATATTAAATGTTGAGCTCATTGTAGTATGCAGTGAGCGGGCATTTCCTAATTAGGCAATAGGGCGTAAGTGCAGATGTCTGCACTTGCGCCAGGTACAGAAAAATTGTACACACTGCAAAATTATATATCTGTACTTCTGATAATCTAGAGACTAGTAAAGCTGATATTGCTGAATGACTGCATAATTTTCTTTTAAAAGTCTGACATGCCTGAACACTCTGTGATTTTTTTGGTCTGATAATCTGATGTTGCTGAATGACTGCATAACTTTCTTTTGAAAGTCTGACATACCTGAACACTGTGATTTTGTTGGTCTAATAATCTGATGTATCTGT